GGTCGGTCTGATGCTGGGTTTGAACTTGAGGTTGACGGTCGCAGTCCATCTTGTGGAGGATATCTCGGAGATCTGGGAGGGTTACCATTACCGCGATGACCAGGACTGATATCATCCTCTGGATATGGTGCAATGGAGATTGGACGAATACCCGCAGGTGCACCCTTTTTAACCTTAGGCTTTTGACTGTGCACTGGAGGAGTTGGTGAGGAGTAATCTTCTGCCATGGTTGGCATAGGTGGAGCATTAGCTTGCGTAAATCTCTCCGGCCTGGCCCCTCTTCGAGAACCGTGCGTTGACTTGATACGTTGAATCGCCGCTCCATGGTCACCCTTGGAAAGTGTGTGGTTCGCTCTGATGCTATCGATTCTTCCAAGAGCATCATGGTTACCGTGCTTGGCAGCCTTGTCATACCATTGTGAAGCTATTTCGAGATTTTTCTTGACATACATTCCAATTTCATAGAAGTAGCCCATAGCGAACTCAGCTGTAGCCATTTCTGTCTCGGCCGCGCGTTTCGCATATGTATAAGCCAATTCTTCATTCTTCTCGAAGATACCCTCATAGCCACAAAGGAACCATTTACTGATGGCCATATCGGCTTCGGGCTCTCCTTGTCGGGCAGCAAGGGCGTTATAATGTAAAGAAAGTGCAGGGTCAAATTCGCAGCCAAACAGACAAAGTTCGTAAGCTTGAGCCATCTTGAGTTGTGCTTTGGCAAATCCGAGATAAGCGGCCTTTTCTACGAACATTTTGGCTTCGTTTAAATCATACGGTAAATATTCATCAGGCATGGTAATGTTTGGCAACTCTCTAGCGAGTAACATTCCATAAACGTAGGCACCTTGAGGGGCATTCTCGTCCGCCGTGTCGGCTGCAAATTGGATCAGATCTATGCCTCTTGCGTAGTCTTGTTGCATGCCACATTGACCGAGTAAGGTAGCCATTCCAAGCCTATAGTTTGCCGCGGAATCCTTCAAGTATACACCTCTTTGATAATGTTCAACGGCCTTGGTAGGGTTCATGGTATTCTCGAATTGCATTCCGATTCGGTATTCAGCTCGAGCATATCCTTTTTGTGCAGCTCGCTGGTAACCTTGAAACGATTCCTTTTTATCCATTCGATACCCAAATTTACCAAACTCTAACCACATCGCCTTCATAAATTCTGCCTTTGGATGTTGCTGTTCTGCGAGGAAGTTGACGATGCTTATAGCATCAACTCGTAATTGATGTTCAATCTTGGGTGTTGGGGCTCGCGAGTCATCGTTCTTTCGCTCGTAAGTAGAACTGGCTACCTCTACCCAAGACAACGCATCCTGAGCCCATGCCAACTGCATTTCTGGGTCGCTAGACTTCAAAACCATGGGTCTAGCTCTCTCCAAAACTTCCTCTTTATCTTCATCCGACAAAGGTACATTCTGACCTGCGTTTCGAGGTTTTGGAAATGGTGAAAACCTCGGGGAATCAGGCTGGACTCGTGGCGTACCATAAGGCCCCTTCAAATTCTGATATATAGCCGCATTTGTATGTTCGTAGTTCGCTGTGTAGCCCGGTCCGCTGTTTCGATTGCTATAGCTCGACCGCGGCGATTCGCTGGTGTGCTGTGAATTGTCATTATACATTGATTGACTAGAAACACCTGAATGTGAGCTTACTCGTCCATCTGAATTGAGTTCCAGATTTGCAAGACTATCTTGCATGTTATGTGGTACCTCTGGCATGATTCTATACTTCTCATTAATGGGCGTCCATCCCACCTCGATGTTTGTCGGATGAAAGTGGCAGAATGGGCACACCATAGCCATACACCATTTTCCTTTCTTAAATCGAACAATGAAAAATAAAACCGTACCTTTGTGGCATTGGAGACACTACATTAGTAGTAGGCATATAGAAGTCGTCCCCTCCTGGGTAGAAGTTCGCCCCCAGATTGGGGTTCTGTTGATACCCCCCACCATAACCGTTCATATTGTTATTAGAATTTGGAGTTGTAGGATTATTTAGACTGGCACCGCGAGGAGGAGGCTGATACGCTTCTAAAATCGAAATAGGATTATTAGCTAGATTCCAAGATGTTTATGAAGATGGTCCAAAATTTGCGACAGCAAAGTCGTGGCAGATATTGTGAATCTTATGAGTGAGTCGCAAAGAGACAGAAATAAGAAAGCTGCGAATGCGAGCTGGGCTGGTATGTAGGATTACTATGTACGTAGTGTCACAGCCGGACATCAGCGGAAAGCAGGCTTGCGACTATGCCATGCGCCCCCTCCCGGATGAGCTATACAAGGGCAAATCTGGTCATAATCGATTATACTTTTTTCTTTTTTTAACTCCTCCCGAATTTGATGACGTTTGATTTGAAAGCCATGTCCCCTTTCGTATTGTATATCCGATATTGGTATTGATATTGAGGTTGGAATAGATTATAACAAAAAACTTTATAACATACCTTGTCCGGTTGGTGAAGATTGTTTCCAGCCTGCGCGAGCAGGTTGATATTCCCCATGTTTCTCTTCATTGTAATCATCGTAAGCGCCGTTGTAATATGACATGGTGGTCTTGAGATGATAGGTTTCCGAGGGATGGATATCCTGCAGGCTTGTGGCGGGATGATTTTCCTTGGAATGCTGGGTGAGTTGAGTATGTATGGTGCTCGCAGAATGTTTCAAGCCTTTACTTTTCAGAGATGATTCTTTTCCCCTCCTGCTTTCGACAACAATACGATTTAAGAAAGAGTGTTCGAGAATTTCCAAGTTGGATTATCAGGAATTTTATTACACGGCAATGAGTAAAAGGAAAGAAAGAAAGGAGTATGTTTACCAAATCGCGACTCGCGAGCAAAGCGAAAGTAGTTAATATGTAGAGAATCAGTACTCCGTACGGCATACTTTTTTTTCGAACTTATTCATTCATTCCCCTGTTCTACTTTTTTTCCTTTTTCTTCCCTGATAAAATGATTCACTGAAAGACCCCCTCTCTCTCCCCCTTCCCCTTCCCCCTCCCCCCGAGACACCCAAAACAACATCAACCAAGGTCCAAGGAGATTTCACCAACACAGGCGCAAATGAGATGAAATGGCTGAGCGTTTTGGTGGACAGATCGTGGCAACATGTGGATCTCATCCCAAGATTACCAAGAACCTTCATCTCCTTCTCAATTTGCCTTTAAGCATATATACAACGAATACACGCGGCCATTTCGTTATTGGGTAAATCTCCTGAGACAAGTATTATTTATAGGAAGATAAATTAACCATTTTCATTTCTTTGCAACATTCAATATTGAAGCGACAGGAAGGTACTGGGCAGCTGAGCTCGTTTACCTTTTCTACAGCAAGACAATTCCGACGTACGCCATCCCGCAGTTGCATCGTGATCGGGGCTTCGGGTCTACCTTCTCTTCCTTCTCAGCTTCCATCAATGAGAGGGGAAAAGAAAATACCCCCTTCCAATTATCTCATTGTTTAGGTAAAAAAAATGCTGATGGAACAATATGCTAAGCTTTGATCGACACAGGCAAGATATGTCCAATATTCCACTCTTTGGGGATCTACCCATGTTCTCTTCGGAAATTTGACCCGACATGAAAACAATCGAGCATCTCGATGCGAACCTGCGATGTCATGCTCAACGGTGTTCAAAAGATGCTTAAGGCTGAGTATCAGGCTTCTTCCTTCGGCATAGCGAGTCGTACGAAGTAAAGCCTTACATCTAGGATAAACAGCTCACCATTGAGGCTGGGGAATCCTAGGGCTGACCCTCAATCACCCCTCTCGCCGACTCAAGAACCGGTTGCTGCATGAAAATCCACAGCATGTCATTGAGATTGAAGCTAAATCAATTAAAGATAAATCTGGGTCGAAATATATCAATGCAACTAACTCAGTCCTTGGTTTGGGCCCGGCCCAAGTGGAGCTGTCAAATATTCGAGAACATTGCAGGGATTAGATGATATATGAACTAGTGATTTCGGCTTGAACGGGTGCGTATTGCGTACCGACGTTGAGAGCCAGATTCCTTGTTGGAAAATTTTAGAAGAAAAGGGGGTGGAGATTCAATGTTCGATTCGATACAAGCCTGACAAAGAATTGGGATGAAGACACAAAGAGAGCCATTCTCGTACCTGAACAGATTCTACAAATGTTCATCCGAAATCATACTCTATGGGGATATACACTATTTTTTGACTTTTATGCATGATTTTCGGGCTGCTCCTAGAATGCGGGGAAAAGCTTTTGTTGATCAACAAAAGATCAGCTCCATACGATAACTTTCAAGGAAACGGCGAGCTAGTCACTCCTGAATCTCCGTACGTACCTCAAGTAGCCATCCCAGAGGATACAAATAACATTGTGAAACACAATGGGCTAGACGTATAAGTTTTGTCTGCCCATCGTTTCACACATATACCACGCTCAAACGTCCTATCTCGATGCAAATAATTGCGCTTCTTAGAATCACCCGCACGATGTTCGGAACAAGTTTCGTATGCCCGGTAGTCATAGCTGTGGACGATTTTGCTGGCGCCCATTCACCACGGCATGACTATAGCTATGATTGTCAATACAGACATTGCCCAAAATGTGGTCCCTGAACTTGAGGTTGAGCTATCCTCGCTTTGTACGGACAATTCATATAGTCTCTTAAGGTATTGGCAACAGCTTACTTATCGACAATGAGAAGGCAGATTTCCAACACTACCCCCCAATCAATCACCACCACAAACCACCGAACCCTCATCTCCACATGTCAAATATGCAACAAAGATTTAGAAAAAGCCCCCTGGCATTTCATTATTTCATCATGGTTGGCGCAATGTCTTCTATCTCTGCATAATATCAACGCACTTGCCATGAAGCTGCAAGTAGGCAGTGCATAATCACTTGATTCAGAACATGTTGTGATTGTTTCTTTTTCATCATTACTGACAGTATTTCCATTCAGAATTGTGTAAATTGTTTACTCTTCTTCAAAAGATGAGGCTTCACAGCCCCTCTTTCAGACCCTTTCCCTACCATATTCTCTACCCACCCTTACTATACCCAGCAACTCCCCCTTCTCTTCCCCACATCCATCTTTTCCAAACCGTATTTCGAGCTCTTCAGTACCAATCTCCCTTATCCTCATATTTTGCGCCCATGTTATTGATAAGTTAATCCCCGCATCTGTGCCTCGAAAAGTTTCTGTACTGCGTGATTTCAATGTCAACGCAATAAACTCTCCTATCAAATTCCAAGCAACTGTTCTCCACCCAGCGAAACACATGTAGACCATGAATCCCAGCGTCGAAATGGCGTGTGTTAAAAGAAGTGACAATGCTAATTTCGTTGTGATTCCACGAATCCCATAGCTATAACCTCTGCGCCAAATCTCAAACTTCCACTCTAGCCAGCCCTTAGGGTGCTCGGGTTCATTCCTCAATGAGGCTAGTCGTCTCAAAGTGCTATTATGGTCAAACAAGAAATTATCATCAGATATGACGCTCTGGGAGCCATAACGCGCAAGAGCATCTGTCATGAATACACCAGCATAAAGTGAGATGAAGCCTTGGATATCAGCAGTACTGCTGGGTGGAATAGGCTTCCCAACTAGAAATTGATTAAATGAAAGTGTTCCATTTGCACCGAGAACCATGAATCTGTTCAGTAGATCTTGAATAAGGGTGGCATTAGGTAGATTCTGCGCGGGTGCGGGCGCGGGAAAAGTAGGTGTGGCATGCATACCACCGCTAAAATTGATGGCTGGAGCCTGAACTCTATTTTTTTGAGGCATTGTCCCATTTATATGGCTTACAGTCAAATGTTATGTTAAGTTCTGCGTCAAGTGAACTCCTGGTACCACTATGTTCGCAGATGCGGCCCAACCAGGAGTAATGTTAATGACATCGCTAAATTTTGAGCGCCCTTTCTTTGTCCGCTCTTGATATGCGTTTTTTAAGAGGCTTCGTAGCCCTGAGAAGGCTGTAGAGTCAGTGAGATTATCGTTGATAATATCGCTAGTTGTAGGCTCATATTTCACTCGAGTTTGCAACCATCTTGCATCGAATGTACACGGTATGATTAATGTATCCTGGACGATAGACCAGCCCGTCCCATTGTATACACGTGTAGACGTCGGAAGCATAAAGATTCCACCGATAGACGCGGTTCCGCTATAGTTTTTGTATAGGCCAATCCAGGTTAGATCTAAGTCTTGCTAGTTCCTGATACCGCTCCAGGAGTCCTTTGGCACTGCATATCCTATCTTTTCGTTTAACTTCTATGTATTCTTCATGATTCCATGTAAGAGAGAAAATAATGGAGCATCTGCTGTATCGTTACCAGCGCTTTTAAGATTACTCTGAGCATAGATATTGCATTTGACCTGAACAATCGGCTGCTTTAGGGTAGTGGTGGAATGAGACAAGAACTTGGGTTGTGAGATGAAAGACTCATAGGCTGCCGCCAATTTTAGGTCATTCCATACCGCGCCCACGGCGAGCTGAGGCACAACTGATAATGAAGTTGTGGAAGAGTGACCCGAATCAGTTCCAGCCGAGGTAAAGGGATTGTGCGTGTTTGTGTATGTGTTATAAAAAGTCATGTTCGCTGCTTTTCCTTTTAGAACATTAAAGTCTTGACTGTTTAGCCAAGTGTTGATATCTTGCGTTCCACTGGCCGGACATACGAAATTGGCAGATGAGTCTACGTAATTGGAACAATTGACCATCGAGAGCGGTGGAGCCAGTGGTTCTAAAAGATTTATTTGCCATAGCTCGAATTTGGTTGGGAAGCGAAATACCAGCGTGTTATTGGTCATTTGCCACCAATCGAGATTGGTACACATAGCAATAGCAGAGGATGGTCCAGCAAGAGCTGTAAGGATGGAACAGAACACCACGAACAGGGCAAAGAGATAGATGCTCAATTTCCGTCCGTGGGAACACTCAAACGATGACCAAAATGACCTGCGGGTGAAGAATTTAAGGTTTCCAATCCAAAGACCAGCACCTAGTAGCCCAAAGGGTATATCTTTGGCCTCAGCGAGCATGAATACAATGAGATGAGATACCATGTAAGCCACAGAAGAGCCGATCCAGAGTTCATGAAGCTTGGCCGCAAATTGAAGGCTATTCAACATGGTATTTTGCCATGTACCATTAGCTGTGTGTCCCTCCAATAAACAGATTTCACATTCAGATACACCAAGCTTGCGGTAGTAGCCAGGGGCAACTCAAGAAAGATCAAATCGAGTGCGATGAATTTGCACCTGTTGTCGAATACAAATTTGGCAGATTCCCCCGGGTCTGGATATTTGGAAAGATGATGAAATCTTGGGAGCTTTGGTCGGTTTAAATTTATCCATCTGGGAAGAGGTATACGAAGAACGAGCGACTTCTGCTGGGACCTCATGATTGATTATGATTTGACTTTTCAGGCAGGAAGGATGATGAGAGCTCGAGAGGCTATGTGAAGAACCGTCGGGATTACCACCTGAGTTTTGTGATGCACTATGTAATATGTGCTAAAATCTAGAGGAAAGACGCCGGCGAGATATTCGGTGTGAATAATTCAGCTTTACGGATCAAAGGGCATCAGTTTGTAAATTTGAGATGGATACAAAATTATATCAGAGATTGGCGCAAGGCATCGTCCACAGAAGTCACCATATAAGTAATTCTTTCTCACTGATATCAGCATAGTTTGTTTGCGACGGAACGTGATAGTTCAACAAGGTACGTCACCCATCGAAACATCAAGCGCAAAATTGCAGGAAGAAATGACATCCCATAATTTGCCAACCTCATGTCAAAGAAGTTGTGATGATAAATAGGACAAGGCAGAAAGTTTCTTCGACGTTTCTACTGTACATCGCATGCGAATCTTCAAGCCCTCGAAGCAAGATCTATTTTGAAACAGGCCCCATCTCCGTTTTTCGGGCACATTAAAAGGGTATCACCTTTCACTGGTGATCAGCATATATTAGGATACATAAAATCCTATCTATGGGCTAGACCGATGTTTCTCGGAAACAGCGACTCGAATACCAAACAAGGATTTCTAGGGGTGGCGATTTGGAATAGCAAACCGCCTAATGGCACATGTAGCTAATTTGCATCATTGAGATGAGTATTAGATGTGATAGTCTAGTTCGGGGAACTGTATCGAAATCCCCACATGCATGAGTGTTTGCTAGGATGCTGTTGTTAGAATTGAGTTGAACTTGCACACCATCAAAGAGAAATAAGCGTAGAATATGATGTTTCATGAAGCAAAGGTTGTTTTAAAACTCTGCTGTATGCACAGTACTATTTGGGTCTATATATTCTGGATCACAAGGCATGGTTTCAATGGGTGGTGGTGTAGGGTAACAATACAGGAGGTGAGGGAGGCGTAGTCAATATGAGCTCATCACTGCAGCTAGATGAAAACGACATTTAATACAGATGGGATTTTCATGAAGAAAAGGCAATATGGAGTGGTTTCTATATTGACGCCGATGGTGCAGGAAGACGTCACGAATGGGATTTCGCCCCCTCATCCTCTCGCAAGCACTGCCGAAAAAAGTCATTCTCGCTGCAACAAGTCCCCTTGGCGCACTCTGCAGGTTCCCATGCGATTCAAAACTTTCTCCTTGCTTTTTTCACTTGCTCCTTTCCCATGAACTGGTAAAAACTGTCAATAATAGCTATTTTCACTACAATAAGCCCCTTTTACACACTGGGTAGATCTATGATACCCCGGTCCACCATACTACCCATAAATTTCACCCTTAGCTCCCGCCGTAACTCTCGAGTAACACGAAGGCCCGTGACATTTCAAATCGAAATAATCAATCACCACACTCTCATTCGTCGGAATATTATGCGTCACTCCCTTCGCACTCGTAGCTCTGAATTTCGTCCCATAATCCCACGTCGTCCAATTCGCATCGGGCCAGCTCAATCTCGTCGTGAGAGGAGTTTTCGATTGACCGAGTACTGTCGTCCACTCCTTGATTTCCTCCTGGAGATTCTGTGGATAAAGTATCGTATCGTCTGTGCCATGTAGCACCCACATCTTTGGTCTAAATCCCTTGTAGCCTGGATACGCAGCCTGAACAATACTCTTCCATTGCGACCCTGTCTTGATGATTTGGCCCGTGGCGCAGTCGTTGGACCAAAGATCTACGGCACTGCTGTTTGCGGCAAAACACCCTAAAGCCACACCCGCCCATGCAGAGCCCGCGGCGAAAATGTCAGGGTAAGCACCCACTAGTACATTCGTCATCATTGCTCCCGACGAAGTGCCCATCGAGAACACGCGATTGGGATCGGCTTTGTAGGTCTTGAGCACATATTTGACCATATTTACAATAGCCAAAGAATCTCCTCCGCCATTGTGAGTAAGTGATGCTTTGGAAGAAACGTCCCAGCATTGGTCTACGGAATTGGGAGAGTTGGGAAAAATCATGATGTAGCCGTAAGTGTCGGCTAGCGTTGCGAATTGTGTGCCGGCAAACGCATCTTGCGCTGTTCCATGGCACCAATGTGGATTGACGAATATTGGGGGATTGGGCGCGAGTTTGGTTGGAACATAGAGATACATTGTAACATTTGACGGGTTGTAGCCAAAATTGGAGACAATGGTTAAATTATTGGCAGCACCGGAAGCTGTGGGTATCATATAGATAGTAGCAGCAAAGGCAACTAGGCCTCTCCGTACTAAGTTGAAAAACACCATGGTGAATTGAGTTGGTAAAAGAAATCAATACATGCACTGAAGCTGCCAAACTGGGGGATAGGCTACATGTATATATAGGCCTTGGCTTGGTATGACGACAAAATACAGGCTAATTCTGATTGTCACTTGACAGCTCATAGATCGTAACCCTGGTGTAGAAATTCTCATTCCATTCCTAGGTATATAATCCCTATTAGAAGAGATGTAGAAATCTTATCGGACATCCAGATTATGCAGCATATTAGCCATCAGAATTTCCGGCACTAAAGTACCCCGCAATTTATCCCCGGCTGTTGTAGCCGAAGTATTTATCCGTATGGAAGGCATCACATGGCTATTTTCGATGGCTAGGAACGAGATTCTATCAGGCTCAAGCCAATTGGAATTGGAAGAAATATATTGCATCCCACTTGAAAATTCCGGAAGTCAACTTCCATGGCCTTGAGTCTCGCAAGTCGGGTGGAAGTAGGTTCAACATAGCCACATATCACAATGATGGAAATGATGTGTATTATTAGCTACTGCAGCCAATTGAAGCGAAGCGTAGAATGGAGTTTACAAGTCATAAACTTCATCGCCTCTGCCTACTTGCAATGCTAACTTATCAACAAATCAAATTGACAAAATCAATTAACAAGAACTAATCATGAAAGAGAAGAGAAGACATGAAATATACACAACAGCAGACGGAGACCCTTCGATTCACAACAAAAGTTATCATGACCAATTCCCATACCGAGCTAAATCAAACATCAACACCACAAGCCAACAGAAAAGAAAATCAGAAACCATCCATCCAAGTGTCCGTTCGTTTCTGCGCTACTAAAACCAATAGTAATCCACCACAAGAATCCTCCACCTCGAAACCCCACACAAGTGGAAAGCTTCTAAAGATACTTCTTCGTTCTCCTCACTTTCGCTTCTCGATATAAACATTTACTCTTCTCTCACTGTATCCCCATGGTGTGTTATTACTCGGCGGGCCGGGTAGTGATCTCTCAGCACCGATGAACTTCCTGCAGAAAGAAATAGAATTAACAAAAGTCCAGCCCAGAATCCCATGTTATACCCATTCATATCTTCATCACTCATTTCCAACTCCATCCATCCCAGAAATATCAACAGATACCAGCAGCCAAAAAAGCACTCACCAATTAGCAAACTCTTTATTCATCAACGTCGTCAATTTATCCTGCACCAAGCTTTGCAAGTTGTTCCTACCGACTACCCCGCTAGTCGGAAGATCTGTCACCATGCCTCGATTCGAATGACGAAAGCGGCGAACATAAGGTAGATTATAGTCTTTATGATAGCTTCTGTGATCCAAAGATGCGTAGCGAATAGTTAGACAACGGACTTCCGCTTGCGGGGGCGGAGACAGGGGCTGTCTTGGAGGGGATCGATGTTTGGGTTCGGATCCGCGGTGAGGGGTTTGATGATGGTGATGGTGGCCTGGCATTCTGGATCTGAAATCAAAGACGTGATAGCAAGAGGACTTGGAGGTATCTGAGTTTGCAGTTTTCTGATGCTAGTAATCTTCTGTTGTTTGGAGCTTATAGAAGAAGAAGAAATACGTGATGGTAACAAGAACTCTATGGAGCAGAGAAACAGATATATATACATGTTCCTAGTATATCAGAGACTTGCGCATAATCTCGTGTAATTCACATGCATCTTCAGCCACGACTGGATATGACTTCATCATCTCGAAACAAATCGGTAAAATTGTGACAGAGATGAATATCAGTTGGGCGTAATGCTCATGAAGAGCATTGCACATGTGTACCAGTAATTGTGACTGTAAGTCTACCTCATGATACGCCTGGATAACTCCATTGGATCATAGATACGAGAAAGTAGTTGGCCCATGTAGCGACCCTAGCTGTGGGGGCTATTTGATACACACCATGCTTTATCCCAGCGGTGGCTTGGCAAAAATACTGCTAATACATGTCGAGTGCAGAGCATCTGAGGCTGAATGTACATGCTTATGTAAGAAGCGTTTTGGAAAAGAATTTAGATGCGTTGGGGAAATATTCAATAAGTTAGGGTAGGGTGAAACAACAGCGCGACACATAAAGTCGGCGGCTCATCAAGTCGTCCGCTATCGAACCTATCCGTGTAACGGTAAGCTTTATATTCGCTTGCATCCAGCCTCTTCAATGGTCAATGGTTGAACTGCGACGACATCAAATCATAAAATTGAATTTTTATCTAAGGTATGAATGCTCGATTAAGGGGCCGCAATATTGCACAGCCTCCTGCATCGATTCGCTAGCGTCTGCCTGCAAGCAAGTGAAGCATGTGACATGATATAGTTATTATTATGACTCTTGTACTTCTCAAAAAGGGTATAGCATGCATGCAAAGGGATATAGATATATCGTAGCTAAAAATCAAATTCAATGTCTGCCTGTAAAAGATTTGAGGCAAACTAATAATTACAACTATCTTCACGCTCTGAAGTCCCTTGTATATCCTTTATAAATGTTACTAAGAAATTACATGACCAACTGAGGACCATGATATTTGGTCTCTTCCTTCACTTTCTTTGCAGCAGCAGCACTAACACTTTCCAGAGTTCTCTTTGGGAATCCCTCGAAAGAAGCCGCATAAGTAGCAACCGAATGAGCGATGAGTTGGGTGTTGATTAACCAAGCATCAAGAGCAAGGTTTGAAAGATCATCACAAAGTTGATGATAACAAGGATCATACCAATCTCCAGCCTTACCACCAAACATTTCAACTTCGACGGCAGTCTTGACACCTTCAGCACCAGTTGCGATTCCACCACCTGGAATACCGTTCTTGATGAAAGCATCATAGTCGCTTCGACCATCAAATGGAATATATGTGTAGTTGAGTTGATGGGATTTGTACCACTTTGTATACAAATTTCTCAATGCTTCGGATCCATCAGGATTGGCGGCATCAGTAGCGTTGTACACCTGGTAAGCATAGTTTGGAGAAGCCATCATGTCGTAATCCATGAAAAGACGGATTTTTAAATTCTCCTCATCGGAAAGTTGGGAAACGTAGTAATCTGAACCGAGAAGTCCCTCCTCCTCCCCTGCCCACCATCCAAATCTAACACAATTATTGACTTTATAGTTGGTCAACTGGGTAGCAACCTCAAGCAGAGATATAGTACCAGTTCCATCGTCATTGATACCCGGTCCTGCCTCAACACTGTCCGAATGTCCTCCCAACATCACACAGTTATTTGCGTCGCCTCCTTTGGTCTGAGCAATGATATTTGTGGTGGTGATTTCTTCAACCAATGCATCAACAAATGCAGATCCATCAATAGATTCCCCATTCTTCAATTTCTCGACATATGGAGCTGCTTCTTCGTCTGATATACCGAAAGTGGCGATATGATCTGCATTTGGTGCTCCCAGTGTTCCACTAAGAGACCCATTGGCATTGTTGTAAACAACTGCGGCAATGGCACCTGCTTTACCGGCATTCGCAGATTTGTCTCCAAATGAACAAGTTCCACGGAGGATCAAAGCGATAGAGCCCGCCACCTCTGCGGGATAGTCGGTCGCATCGCAACCATTGTTGCTAACCAACACTAGTGGGCCGAAAACCGCATCTTTGTTGGCTGTTGGAGGTGTGAGACTCATGGGGGTAGCAGTCTTTGGAACGGCATCGCCAAGTACGAGTCGATAGTCGAAGATGTTGCCCACTACTGCAGGGAATGATTGGTTGGAGATATCATAGTAGTCGCCGAGAGAAGCAATAGAAGAGTAGATGTAATCAACAGTTGATTCGTGGCCTGTTACACAGAGTGAGTCAACAAATGTCTTTAGCAGCTGAGGAGGTGAAGGAATGGGGATATACCTTTTGATCCGATAACTCTCGTCGGATGATTATACTCAGGGATACTTTCCTCTGCAATTTTGTAAAGCTGATTCGCCCGTTTGAGGAGATTTTTTGTCTTTATATCGTTTTGGAGGGAAGTAGATTTGATCAATGGTTTGTGTTTTTCATTGATGAGAGATTGAGAGCTTGGTTCTGCAATGGGTTGTTGAATAACTGCACCTGTAACTAGAGATGCAGCTGCAAGAAATAGAGTAGAACGTAGCATAATGAAGGCCCGAATCGTGGAGGTTTACCACGGATTTGTTATTGAGTTGATTTAATGATGTTTTGTTGTTTGAAAGACGAGAGATAGAGAGGTTGGGAATGACTGAAGCTTTAAGACTGAAGCTTAAAGCTTCTCAGCTCAGATAGCGTATGCACGACGATATCGGCAAGCAAATTGATTGGCCGACATTTGGGCGGTGAATTTTGCGGTGATTCAATTACCCCTTGCCCCTGTCACCCTCGATTCTTGTACTCCAGACCTGATGACCTCGCCCCGTTTTCTGTTCTACCTTATTGATCGCCTGGCTTCGCGCCGAGGGTGGATAAAGACATGACTCGATACACGTGCTATCAGTAGATCTTGGAAGTTAATTTATATGTCTTGAGTCAATGCATGTCTGACACACTAGATAAGGACTCAGGCACGCCAGGCACGCCAGGTACCAGTTGCAATCGCAATTCATGATGTTCGTCTAAAAATCTAACCCCCTTTAACCGTTCAAGTACGCCAAGATGTCTGCCGGAGCACCTGCATCTGCGGGGTTTCTTTAGAACATTCCGGATTAGGTAGGTAGTCTCTAGCATCTAAGTCTTGGACTCGGCACGTCAGAAACTAATTCCCACAAAATTCATGATATTCGTTTAACAACTCTAACCCCCCTTTATCCGTTATCTATATATATTCTCGATCAGGCAGGTAGTCCCTGGAAAATCTTTTATAAATCAGTGCCAAGGTATAATACAATCATTTCACATCATCAATCCAATCCAGTCTCAATCCCAAGTCCCTTATCCATTCTCCAAGGAATCGCCCAATGCCACTATCAAAATACGCCATTTGGACCACCCAAAGAACCGTGAATATCCGTTTCAACCGACAAAAGTCTGCGCCATTCACAAAACCAAGACCAGTTCTTCACAGTTACCCCACTACAACAGCCTCAGTTCAAACAGAATAGGTGTCCACATGCAACAATGAGACCACAGTATGGTCAGTGTAGACCAGCTGTTTCTGAACACCCATCTCCACCATCTAGATTGCCGTCTCTTGATCCCCCATCCTGTGACCAAGTAGAATCCTCGTCCATCATTACAACGGCAGAATCGGCAGAATCATTTTTACTATGTTTGCCATCAGAACTCGAGACCCCCAGACTTGCAAGTTCTTGGACATCCATTGTCTTTTGTGCCCAGTATATCAGCGTTTCCTCCAATCTTTCCTTCTCAACTGGTTTACTCAAGTATCCATCCATTCCCGCCTCGAGACACTTTTCTTGATCTCCTTGGATCGCACTAGCCGTCATAGCTATTACAGGAAGATCTTTTAGTCTGATTTTCGTTTTGGTTTGTGTCCTGCCAGTCGGACTCTCCATTTCTGATCCATTCAGGTTTGAGTGTCTCGCGGTGGCCAAATTTTTTGCGGTTTCTAACGGCCGTATATCATGTTCTAGATACTTTTCATATTCTTTATTCGTCCTTAGAATTTTTGTTGCTTCATAGCCATCCATAATTGGCATCTGGACATCCATCAGAATGATATCTGGTCTCGGGTTAGATGGCCCAGGATTGCTCAAGTAATTCAATGCTTCGCGTCCGTTCCAAACGGCTGTTGCTTGAAATCCTAGATTTCGGACAGTTTTCAATGCGATGGTTTGATTAATGGCACTATACTTGGTAAGCAAGAAATGAAAAGATGTGCTTATAATAAATCTGTCCAACTTACTTATCTTCGACAACTAGAACAAGGATCTCGCCTCGTTCTTCCAGTGGAAGCTTTGGCCCATTGATTTTTTTCTTGTCTCCGTTTCGTAGATATGGAGGGAGGACATGATTGGTGTCACTGGTCGAGATTTGTTGATTTATAAGTTGTTGTTTTACCTGCCCTCGGTGAGAGCTTAGTCGAAGAGCCAGTGGCGTACTCGGCAAAGATTTTGAATCAGAATTATTGTTAGTGAAAGAAAAGTCAAGCTTAGCCGGAGTGTTGGAAAGTCGGGGGTAACGGCAATAGGAGGATATCTTCAATGGTATTGTGAATGTGGCCGTGCTCCCAACTCCTTCTTCTGAATCAAGAGCAATCGTTCCAGACATCAGAGTTGCAAGCTAATCTTAGAATCAGTATCTTGAAGCAGGAATTTCAATGAATACAGTGAGGTTCTCTGGTGGACAAGTATTGGAAGAATAGAAGAAGATACTTACATTCCTCGATATGGTCAAGCCTAAGCCCGTCCCACCATACAATCTCGCTGTTGAAGAATCCCCCTGGCTAAAGGGTCTAAATAACTTATCCAAGGTCGTTTTAGATATTCCAATCCCGGTATCCTTAATCACGAAGCTAATCTCAATTGTATCGTTTCCAATGTTGCCTGGATTCGTTATTCTATTTCCTATCACGCTTATTGTTATAGATCCATTTTCCGTAAATTTAAGCGAATTCGTTAGGAGGTTAGATAGGACTTGTCTGATCCGCCCGGGGTCTCCCAGGACTTCGAGGCTTTCGTCAACCTCATTTTCGTAGTTGAATACCAAATCCTTCTGGTTAGCAAAAACGCATAACAATTTACATAGCTCTCCCACAATGGAACAAAGATTGAATGGAACTTCTTCGATATCGAGACGACCGGATTCGATTTTCGAAAAGTCGAGGATGTCATTCACAATAGTCAGGAGTGCTCTTCCCGAAAGTTGGATGCTAGAAACGTATTCACGTTGCGAAGACGTTAAGGTTGGGTCTTCGTCGAGTAAGTCTACCATTCCAATCACGCCCTAATTCCAACACGTTAGCACTGTGATCTTTCAACTTGGGCAAAAAAAATGAGGGGGGGACTCACCGCCGTTGGGGTGCGCATTTCATGCGACATCTTTACAAATCCTATTAGCGTTCTGGAAATCTTCACGAGGCACCAATAACTCACATTTGCTAAGAATTGACTTTTCATCTTAGATGAATCTTTAGCTGCTTGTTCTTCAATCATCAACCTCGTGTTATCCATCTCTAATTGTGCCCGTTTTTCCAAATTCGTAATATCAATACTCAAGCCCAAGCATCCGATGACCTTTGGTGCTTGTCCTCCGTCATCACTGCTATGCTCGAGATCTGCCACCAATCGTGTTCGGTAAGTTTTGTCTCCTATCTTTTCTTCGCATGTTGCCATTTCGACCTTTCCGGACAATATTTCCAGGATAGAATTTTCGTGATCTAGAAATTCGGAACACATTAGTGACGTGGGGTTATTTTCATAGAGAAATAGATGAGATAAACGAACCCGGTATGCCCCCTGGCTGCGTACTTTGCCAATGCTCAATAACATTTTTTCCAATCAAGTTTTCCTTACTTTGACACGTTTGCTCATTTTTGGTACCCCATGGCATGGCTCCTTCTGCCATTGTTACTAGTCGATTTTCATCCACACAAAACATGTTGACTTCGGCATGAGCCAGAACTGTCAACATTTGATGCTTGTTCCTCTTGGCCTCAATTCGTGACATCACAGTATCCGTGATATCTGTATTTGTTCCATACCACTTTAGAACTTCTCCATTGTCGTTAAGTAGTGGGCAAGCTCTCGTGTGCATCCATCTGTATACCCCATCATGCCTTAGATACCGTACCTCAACCTCGCCATCTCGGCCATTTGCCAGTCCATAAGCCCAAGCTTCTCTAAGAGTATCCAAATCTTCCGGATGAATCACTTTCTCATACCCGGTGCCAACGCTTTCCTCCTTAGACATGCCAGTGTATTCATACCACTACGGCGCAGGTTAGTTTCGTATGAATTGTGAGCAGTTACTAGAATACATCCTTACCCGCCTAGAGTACCAATCGCAATATCCATCTGTTCTTGAAGTCCACACTAGATGTGGCATCAAATCGCAGATAGTTTCATGGCTTCGTAGTAACTTGTGTTGTTTCTCAACCAGGTATTGTTCGTACTCCTGTATATCTTCGCACCAACAAATCGCTCCTAAGTAGATCCCAGCTTCGTCATAAAGGCATTCTCCAGAAATCAGAGCTGTCAATCGATCTCCATTTATGGGGTTTATAAATCCAGATCTTTGATTCGCGAACGATTGTCGAGTTCTTGCCAAGACTGTTCCGAAATATTCATCGCGTGGTAACTGACGAGTGTATCCCTCATCCCATATTTGTAGGGCATCTCGAAAAATATCCCCCTCGCAGCCATTCTCCCCCCCCATAGACTCTCCCAAGACATCTCGAACTTTACGATTTGCCAAGTAAAATTCACCATCTGCATTTATCAAGAATGCTGGAGTGTCAACATTGTCAAAGATTGCTTTTCGAAGAGAACAAAAAATATCATCCCTTATAAAGGCTGGTTTATGTTGAGGCTCTTTTACTTTATTTGGTGACGATGTTGAGCCTAGCCCGGAGTCAATTGGATTCCCTTGCGAAAATATCGGCGATTCGAAGGTGAGAATGAAATGAAGGCCCTGATGCTCATTCAAAGCATCAATACAAGCCCGAAATCGTCTTTCCTTCTGATCATTCGACCTAGATGAATTGTTCACCACCACCTGAAACCCATCAAAAAAGCTCGAATCTTCATCATTTGATGAGGTACCGCCACGTCGAACATACTCTACCTCACTCAGAACCGGTGCCCATGATCGATTATCTAGTAATGTGACACCTAATTCATCCAAGTCCTTTCCGATCAATGCGCTCTCATCATTCCTAAGAGAATCTGTGCTACCCAATAAAGCTTCTGCTTTCAAGTTTGTCCATATCACTTTCCGATACTGATCCAGGACTAGCACAGGCGTAGGCAAATGTTCCAATATAGATAATGGAAGGTCCATTTTGTTCGGGCTCAGATCCGGCGACCGAGATCCATTGGCATGGTTTCTACCGTGCATCATGTCCCACGTTGAAGCTGCCGGCATTGTTGGGATAGCCTCGAGGTCAAGTGTTTAAGTTTCCCTGCTTCTTGTTGAGATAAATTCTTTAGCATGTCATTTATGGTATCAAGAAAGATGCAAGGTGAAGGAGATGAAAAGTCAAGGTCAAGTGCGCGATTGTATCTGGAATGGATCGAAAGGAAACTCACGCATGGACTCCTGGTTCACTGACTGGGGTTGATGGCGTAGGGCACGCCTCTTACGTCGCCCTTGAGATCTTTCGTTACTTCAAACTCACTGTTCCATTTTATTTGGAGCGTTTGAGATGATTTTTGTTCCTGTAATGTTGATAAAATCCAATCAATGAACTGAAAAACAAAATTTGAGAACAAATAGACTTGGAAAACAAAAACAAACGGTCTAGTTCTGGGTTCCACATCATATAAGATCGCCACTCCCGCAACTTTCTTCTGGAAATATTGTTGATCAACTAACAACCAAGATATCTGAATTGAGTTCTGGACTTCGTACAACTAGTCTTGAAACAAGAAAAAATTGTCAGTGGATTGCCCCTACCAGAAGTATACTAGTATTCAGAAGGCCTTGGAGACTTGGGGCCCTCTAAACTGTTGTGGTATCAATATACTTGATCTATGAGACTGTTCATTGGCTACCACTACTCTGACCTCTCCATTTCGGGACATATAAACCCTCAAGACCCCGTGAGACTGGGGAATCGAGGGAATCCACTAGTCTGGTCTGGCTGGTCTGGCTGGTCTGGCTGGTCTGGATGGTCTGGATGGATATTGGTTCCACGTCTTGTATCTACTATCTAGTCAAAAACGTATTGATTTATAGCTCGGTATGAGTAAGGCCATAGGTAAGGGACTCGCCACTCATGGGGGAGTAGGATCGAACAATCGAAAGGATCACAAATGATTTGAAGATCATCAACAACAAATGTCAAAGCACAATCAAATCTTCCCCCTGGGTGAAATAAAGTTTAAGAAAATGAGACGGCGTGTTCTGCAAGGTTAAGAGATGCCGTCTTGGTGGGTGTGTTCCATTTCCCGAAGTCTAAGCGTGCATTCAGCTGCAGCTTCGATGATGAAAGTGCTGTGGCTGTGGCTGTGGCTGATCGCTAACTTCTCCCAAACCTTTCAATTTATCACGATCCATTGACAATAGTTGGTAAGTCCAAGCTCTTCCGTGGCATTGTATCTTTGAAAACTAATCAATAACTTCAAGCAGTTAACAATTCCAATCTCCCACTCCCGTCTCAATCTAAGATTAGCACGCTATGGGCCTCTTCTCATCCTCAACCCCAGCTTCCTTACCACCCCCCAAAATTGGCGCGGATGGTGCACCTATAGCTCCGGACCGCACACAAAGATCTCGGTGCTGGGAAGCTAGGGATGCTTATTTTAAATGTCTGGATAGAGCAGAAATCATTGATAGTATTACGGAGAAGGACAAGGCGGAGAAAGCATGTGCAGTAGAGAGCAAAGGATTTGAAAGTAATTGTGCTACGAGTTGGGTAAGTTTTCTTCATTGAGAGCTGAGTATGGGCTGGAGTGCCTAAGAATGAATGTACATGAGGGGATATTTGAGCTGACTTGATTGTGGTGTAGGTCCAATACTTCAAAAAGCGAAGAGTTATGGAATACCAGCGCGATCAAACTTTGCAGAGACTTAAAGCCGAAGGAGCACAGGAGATGCCAGGTCAAATAGGACCTCCAGGTCCAGGGCAAAGGCCATGATGACATGAGGAAATATAATAAATGTACAATAGCACATGGATGGAGTAATTGGTATACAAAAGGGATAGAACCACGATAACGACCATCTCCTAATTTATATCACCACATTGAATTTCAATCGCGTGCAGCAGTGGCGTGTTTCGTCGAAGATTTTGCGAAGAAATTTGCGTGTTGGGACATGCAAGTGACTGACAGAATTGGGCCAATTCGGTATGTATACTGCAAATTTGTTAGACATTTCCTCCAGGTCCTCGCAACAATTGGGCACTGGGTTCAATGTCCCGAGTTTCTATGCGCCCAATCAAACTTGCTCTTGCTGCCATAATGCTTGTTGGAATGATATCTACATTGTGTCAACTCGTGGTGGCGTGCGAGACTTTCCATTTTAATGCCGGGCGACACTGCACTGCATGTATACAGCCTTTGCATCCTGTATGTGGCAGCATAATTGCGTGAATGAAAGACGTGCCGGGGACCTCGTGATGGAGTTTATATTAAACAGAAGGGCCAGAACAACTTGATGGAAGATTTCACCTTACTGTTCGAATCAATCTTCATAGAGAGTCAACAGTATATTCCAGATGCATCAAACATACGCAAAATAAGGAGAAACTCTGCCCCTAAATGCTCTAAGTTTCAGGATCATAATACGAGCAGAAGCGCTTGAGACACGAACCTTTTAAGCTTCCGTGTCATGTTCATTCCCCGGATCTGCAATTCACATGTGTGAAACATTTTTATATTCGAGTTTCACGCCCAGACATCTTGTTTCGGTCTCTTTTAAATCTTCTCCTCCCCCTCCCCCAAATATAAACACCGTACTTGTCAAATAAAGACTCGGATAAACGATTATTCAGATACATTTTCTACATTTCCTACCAACATCAGGAAGCTAGCTTAGTCACTTTTAATCTTTACCGCTTCCAAAATCAAACCCTTCTCGGCAGAATAATCGTCATCTCAAACAACAATCACACTCACTCGACTATCATGACCATATCGGCACCCCAGCGACCTCCTCCTCTTCAAACAGGCGCAACGCCACCAGCCTCCACGCACAAATCTCAAATCCGTGAAAAGGTTTGGGAAGAATTGCGCCATGTAGCTATCCCAGACTCAAGATTCAACCACGATTACTCTTCATTCATATGCGATTTCGTGGGTTCCAATGATGCAGGTCGTCACTTAATTAATTTAGACTGTTATATGTCTGCCGACACGATATTCATCGCTCCCGACAATTGTTTGCAGGAACTGCGATGTCAGGCGCTAAAAGATGGAAAGATTGTCATTTGTACAACGTATGGGATTAGAAGGGGATTTTTCCTGCTGAATCCCAAGGAAATACCGGAACGCAAATGGGAGGTTGCGAGTTATTTGGATGGAATGGAAAGATATGGGAGACATATCACATTGACTGCGATACGAAGTGAGGGATTAAGAATACCATTGATGGTAACCGGGACCGGCGCCATAAATTACAAAGGTCTTCGATTTGGAAAGGGTCATGGATTTTTCGACTTAGAATGGGGAATGTTATATTCGATAGGGGCTGTGAATAAGGATACGAAAATAATAGCGTTGGTTCATGAATGTCAGGTATTGGAGGAAGAATTCAAAGGCGATCAGTGGGATACGGGATGCGATTATGTGATTACGAATAAGAGAGTTATTACCGTTGCTGGAGCGGCAAAACCGGGTTATGGCATTATATGGGATAAATTGGATAGAGGGATGCTGGAGGATATCGAGTCGCTGAGAGAGTTGAAGAATATCATCTCGCCGCCGGAATTGAAATCTCCGCAGGAGCATATGGATTTCTCGGAAGAGGCGAGGTTGTATATGGATTACGCAAGTTTTGATTTTTAGAGCGAGGAGTAGGATCGGAATACATATTGGGCAATTTAGGGTCAACGGATGGCAGTTTGTTCATGCTAGATTTGGTTCAATTTATTGATTGGATGGCTCTAGCACATTTATACAATGTTCTCGACGTGAATAATAACAGCAAGCGCTCGCTTATGAAGGTCTAAAATCTTCAAATCATTGTAGCACTTCTATGCATATATCCTCCCAAAGTGTCTTATATTCCAGACTAGCAATCGAATACAGAGGTTGAGAGCTTCTGATCAACAGAGTGCAGACCAGTCTATCAGAATTCCTACATTCCCTTGAACCGTCACAAAACTTCACCATCATTTTTCTCCTCAAATCCCATTTTCTGCCCTGGAAAAAGTCATGCAAATGCGCATTTCCCCAAAGTGCATATTTCCGGCTCAACGACCCATTCCCTCCCCTCTCAGCGGTATCAAAAATAAGAATGACTTACCTCTTGAACAATTCAAATACATTTCTCCTCTTTACATCATGTGGTGCTGAGCCCAGGCAATCCTTCTTCGTACCCAGGGACACATGCAGCATCTAAATTCCCGTCGCCGTATTCATAATACTCTCATTTGCCTTTCAGCACATCCAGGACTCCTCTGACTCATTGAAGCCATTTAGGGGTTTAGAATAGAAGAATGAGATGTGAACAACTATGGTGTACTTTCGTGTATCATCTTTAAGTTGTCTTTCGCTTCCGCAGCCCATGATTGACGCCAATAAGCATCTTCTCTTGTAATTCCCATATCATGCGTATACAATCTCTGTGCACATCCGATAGCCATATCACGCGTAGCGTTCTTAGTCCTCTCATAAAAAGCTATGGCTTGAAATTTGATATTGGTTGTAAGGAAGAATCAAGGTTTAATTTTTGTTGAAGAGGAAACTGATGATTAAACGTTGGAATGAGAATGTCATCAATGACAGCACTGTACGTTGCGATGTATTGAAAACATGGTTGTCACCAGATGTGTTGATCCAACGGTCATTTGCGCAACAAGACAAATACGGAAAGAAGTGTTGAAGGGCGGAGAACTTAAAATGTAACATTCTGGATCCAAGGAAAGGTAAAGGTGAATAATTACAAAATTACAAAATGAGAAATTGGGCACTGTTAATACATAGCCACGGCAAGGTGACGTTGATGATTGAATTTAGAACCTGCCAAAATAACATTTCATATGTCTTCTATAGTTTTACTAAATAACACCTGCCTGCAACTTCACCTTCGCCATAATCCATGTTTACAATGAAATCGAATCTCCAGCGTCTCGAATTCGAAAGCGAAGCCGAATTCAAGGAAATGATGACGGCTTGTTGGGAAGCATTTGAGAATCCTTTCAATTCCTATCTTCGAATAGTCTATTATCTCAAAGATGACTCCCCGCAGGAAAGAGAGCGATCTATCCAGGTAGCCACAGAATCTGCTCTAAGACACCATACACAGAGATCTCCCAATAGTTATTGGATGAAAATAACTGAGTCTACGCATAAAAAGTTGGTCGGAGCTGCAAATTGGATTTATTTCCAAGAAAATTCAGACACTATCAATAATGCAAACCCAGTCGTTGCTCTTTGGTGGCCAGAGGGAATCGGTCGAGAATATGCCAACAATTTCATCCGACAAATTGAGGCCCATAAGTATTACCTACATTGTAATCGACCATACTTGCGTAAGTATAAGCGTATCTGATGTTGTGCTCGCCGGGAGCATATGATCCATGCTAAAGTCGCAATATCGCAGTCTTAAACATCGCGTTCACCATTCCGGAATTTCGAAGGAAAGGTGCTATGAAATTGGTGATGGATTGGGGCATCAAAAAGGCTGATGAATTAGGTGTCGACGCATATGTAGAGGCGACCGAGACGGGAAGATTACTATACGAAAAGTATGGATTCATGACATACTACAAGGTGGTGGTGAACACCAGTATTGAAAATCCAAGTACGACTTGGAAAGATCTGGAGGAAACACTGTCTCCTGAGCCTCAGTGAGCACTACTCAGAATCTCGATTGCGTATGGGTAATGACTGATATCAACAGGTACTTTATGTGGCGACCCATTAAGGGGTGATTCGAGGTTGGAAAAACATGGCTACCATGGGGGACTGAGCCTTTTATTTCCTTGGTTTATGAGACGCTGAAGTGAGCCGGAGAGACATCCATTGGAACTTTGCAAATGATTCTGCATAAACTATTGGCATGGGCAATTTGTATTTCATAAGAATACAAGAAATCTCTGGTCAGTCACTCTGTGGCCAATACTAAGTGAATACGTTCCCTCACCACAAACCTGGAACCCATCGATGCACTTATAATCGTCAAACATTTGCCGATCTAAAATCCATAGGGTAGATTTTATACATGGAGAGATCAACATAGACATAGTCAAGCTTCTCAGAATGTGCATCTTTACATTTAATATGTATGATTGTGTCTTGCTTGATGCCACCACGTCCCTCATCCCTATGATTTTTGCTTCGCAGATATTGTATCGGTTTGCAAGTGACAAGGTCGCGATGGCAATGTGTTTGTAAGTAACGATCAGAAGCCGCAGAGTTTCGCGAGAGCATAGTTAGTTAAATACGGGCTGATGTCTTGGCTCTATGAGAGACAGAAATCTTCCGGCCCTCTTCCCCTGAACAAATGCCTCTTCAGTTGTCATGAGTCTAGGGTGGTTTCTCGTATTTCGGTTCGATTCATATAAAGAGGGTAGACGACGTCGAAAAGATGGTCGCTGGGCAAGGCTCATCTATCCATGGTATGAAAGCGCGTATAGCCTTTTCATATTGAAGCTAACCTCATGGGCACATGTCGTGCGAGGAAACTTCGGACTACTTTCGCGCTTAATTCTAATCCAGTTGCTAGAGCCAAGTTAAGATGTCTCTGAGAATGGCTCTCAGTGTAGTAAGGTTCCGCTTTTTATCAATATGCCAATGCATGAATATCCCAATAATTGGAGATGATGAAAAAATGAACGAAATGAAAGCTGCGTAATCATTTTACGGATTAATATTTCACCGGGATCATTCAAAAGCCCACCGGTGGCCCTCAAATTGAAGTCTTGGACACTGGGATATCTTTTTAGCCGCCAGTATACCTTTAATTAGAACTTCAACCGTTCTAAATATATTTAAGCCAGCGAGGTCGCTCTTTTGAATGGCTGTTGTGTCAAGATATCTCTTTGCCTTTTAAGATCATCCGAGACACTGCGCCGCCAACATACATCACACATGTCTCCAGCATAGATCTCTGTATATTACTTGCAATTGCTTGCAATGAGCTTCTTTTACTAGGAAGAAAAGTTCCATCACATTAAAATTCATTAATCCGATCGTTCCGAGTTTTATTTCGGAAATTCTCCTTTTTGGTGAAGTTACCAAAGAATGAGGCAAACTCGTGCACTCGCTCTCTTTGGCGCAATCGTTTTCATAGCTTTGATCGCTAGTCTTTCTCATTTGAACTCTGACGATTTATCGAGTTATATTCCACAGAAAGCTCAAAATTATTTTCACTATGAGACACCACCAGATTCAGAAGAGATCTCAAGGCTGAATGGAATCTTGGAGGAGTTTTTATCACGCCCAGTTCTATCTTACGATGATGCTGTTTCAACGAATTCCCAAACCTGCCCGGTTAATGGAACTAACTATGACCGAGGTGCTGTTGACGGGAACGTGAAAACATGGGCAGATATACCTTCATCTCAGATTTATGCGTGGCGCAAAGATATCACAACAAATTTACGTCGCAAACAAATTGAGGCGATTGGGAAATCGAGCTCATCATCACGTTCTAGTGCCGATGTGCCAGGAATGGAGAAAAATATTAAAAGAGGAATCGTAATGGCCGCGGGAGATCGTCACGCCCTGATTCGTGCGCGAACTTCTCTTAGGCTTCTAAAATCTTACAACTGCACGTTGCCAGTCGAGATATTTCACTTCGACTCCGAATTATCCGCACCTGCTCTTAGTAGTATTCTCTCCGATCTAAAAGAGTTGCAGAACTCTGATTCCGGTACTAGTGGCATTAATGTTACAATGCGTGTCGTAGGAGACGTATCAAAAGGCTCGGGGTGGAAAGATTTTCAAATAAAGGGAGCCGCCATTCAGCAATCTTCATTTGACGATATCTTGTATTTAGATACAGATTCCTATCCTCTACGAAATCCCGAATATCTGTTTGAAGGAAGAGAATGGAGAGACACAGGACTCCTATTATGGCCTGATTATTCAAAATCTCATCCCACCAATCCGATGTGGCGTTTATTGGGTCAGCCATGTCGGAATGAGTACGAAGGAGAATCTGGGCAGGTTATGATATCTCGAACTCGTCATCAGGATATCCTGTGGTTGATTGAGTATTTTGCACTTCATCATGAAGAATTTTATGGATTCATGGGAGGTGATCGAGATTCATTTCGGGCTGCTGCACTTCTTCTTGGGAAGCCATGGACCGGCCCAGGGAGAATGAATGCTGTTGGAGCCGCAAAGATTCCCGGAAGTTCTCAATCCGGAGGACACACAATGCTTCAAGCAGATCCATATGGAAAGTGGATGTTCGTACATGCGAACCTGATTAAGCATTCTCATTTCGAGAGGCCACTTTGGTCGCAGGTTCATAGAATTCGCGATGATTCTTTCAAGGAAGGTACCACATATGGCAATATTGATTCGCCAAATGATATGATTGGGGAGGGGGTTAAATTAGATGTAGCTGTCAACCCTAGATTGGTAACGAGCATGTCTACTTTCGATGGATATGATGAAGATTTGGTGGTCGTTGAAGATTGGGATTCATACGAGGAATTGAAAGGATTCGAAGAGAAGTGGTTTGGTTTCGGTGGTGTACATTAATTACAAATAAGTGGTGCTTTGGATTTTTTTAATTCTGTGTAATTCCGGTCTGGACGAGCAGATAGCCGAAGACAGACTGTATATAAAACGCACATCTTGGATCCGGAGCGACCGGCAGCAATGTTATTTCTTATCCAAACACGGAAATTGATCGTGTTGAATGCCACCTCTGGACAGCCGATCACTGAGAATTCTGCATTTAAGATTGAATCTATTTTGAGTGTTGGACTGTATACAGATATTGGGAGCTTTTGATTGTCAGGTTGCAATCCGGACTATTGGAAGCACTGTTCATGGCTCATCTATTTACAACAACCAATGAAGCTTCTCAGGCGTGTATCAGTCTTCTACGCCTTTAATACGCCTTTCTTCCAACGCGAATAGCCTTCCTCCGCCCCAAACGCTTTCAACATCGCATTGACTAACGGCCAAGCATTTTCCCATTCTGGCTCCAAAGCCCGTCCCCAGAAATACCTTCTCGTTCTTTCATCATTCACGCTGGGTAGATCAGAGAAGCCCCTTTTCTACATTACAGCAACCATCACACGATCGTCGCCACTCCAAAATCAATTACTCTACCCAAGAAACTCATATCTGCTGTGACCAGCGATGGCCCGAAATGTTCATGTAAGGTATTCGGTAAAGCTTCAAAACAGCAATCATCGGCATCGAGTTTCCAGCATTCATACCCCATTTTCTCAAACACTAAGACGCATCATTGTGCAACTCTCTCACAAAATTAAGGACAGCATAGTAGTCGAAGATCTCACTTCCATGATGGTTTTAAATATAATTCATAGGCATCATTTTGATGATGTGTTGCATATCTGGATAAGTGATAAGAAGAACTAACTTTGAGATAGATATCTAGAAGCCACGAGCTAACGCTTCTTAAGTTCGCTTACTTATTTCGTATACTTTAGCGTTTAGGGGGGATCATATCATCTTGATTTGTTGCATGTCTAGATAAGAGATAAGAACGATTAGCTTCACATGAGTATCTGATAGGGAGAAGATCGATGATGTAACCTTGTAAGGTAGGCTTCGCGGTAGGATATCACGATGTTGGATGTAGTAAGTCCAGTAGACTGTCAATTTTCTGTTAGGTAGAATAACGTTGGAGGAGAATAATGTTGAGCACTTAAAACTTAAACTCATCAAGTCTCAAATTCCAATCATCATTTTCTAGCTTGTTCGTTCAAATTACTCCCCCATTCAATCGAAAAACATTGTAAATCATATCTGGATGAACCAGCTCCATTAATGAGCTATTCATCTATGGATATGAAAAGTACTAACAAAGATAGACATCGTATATCTCAACACTGAAATCAATACCCACAAATCCGGGTATCAATCCTCAAACCCACATTCACCAAAAGAATAACCCTTGTAATCGGTAGGAACGAAATCAAGATAAGATATGATGACGACTATTCGTCTCATCCATTTTTCCCATATAGTAGTACAAATACAACAATCATATCTCGCCCTAATCGACACCATCTCAAGGATAGAAAGCATGAAAATCATAAAACCAATGCATACATTCCACTCGAGCTCAAAAAATACGTTCTCAAAACTCAAACTCTTCGGATTAAAACAAGAACAAGTTCGTTAAACACACCACTCCCAATACCACAAATGAAATCCTCACTTTATCCGAATCCGCCGAAATGGTAGTTTGTTGCGCCCCCGTTGTCCCGTTAATTCCCGTAGCTTCACTTGCTACTCCCGTGCTGGAAGGTGGATTGATATAAAGTGTCGATTTAGATGTACTTCCCGAAGCAGCGGTCGAAGTGCTGAATGATAAGACGGATGTATCATAAGCACCTGCAGTGGTCATGGCCGAGGATTCCAGAGCTGCAGTTCCTGTTCCTATTTTGGTCGAGTTATTGTAAGGGCCGACTAAAGTTCCGGTTCCATAGTAGCCTGTGCCTGCTGAATAACCGGATACGTAACCCGTGGCATATGCGCTGCCAGTGGAGGCATCGCATGTCACAACGGTGAGCCATCCCGTCGTAGTGGTCCATACTGTGGAACCGCTGGTCTTGGTTTGAACGGTGGAGGTGGAGTAAGTTGTGAGAGTGACTGATTGATCAGAGGTAATGTGGATGGTAGTGTGGGAGGTAATGTCGGAGGCATATGTTGGAACAATGGGGGCCGACGTTACAGCAGTTCCCCATGTGTATTTAGAGGAGGTTTTGGCTCCCGTTCC